ACAGTGTGTGGAAAGAGTTATCTGTCTGCCTAGTTAAGGAAAGGGGGACTCTTTGATGAGGGCAGAACAGTAAAAAGACAGCATCATCGTGATTTGGATCTCAACACTGCTCAACTACAACAGCTAAGATGTCAGACGAAGATGGGAAAAGCTTTAAGACAAGATCACAGTGCTCATGCTCGTCAAAGGCATCACAATCTTCAAAACGATCCGGGTCAGCTGCTAGTTTGGCTGCCATCGAAGCACGTGCCAAAGCAGAAGCAGCACGTGCCAGAGCATCCTTCGCACAGAGAGAAATGGAGGTAAAAGTAAAGAAGGCTCAGCTTAAGGTAGAAGAGACACGGCTTGAGGCCACTCTGGAGGCCCTTAAGCGGGAGGAGGAGGCAGAGGCAGCTTTAGCTGAGGCTAATGTCTTTGAAGCAGGTGTGGATTTGACAAATCTTGAAGAGCTGTCTGGAGATGGTAACCGAAGCTCTTCTCATGCATCAGCTGAGAGAACTGAGAAGTATGTTGACGAACAATGTGTTTACGTAAACAATCAACAGCCGCCATTCAGTAAAAGGTCAGAGGTTCAGTTTGATTTAACTCCTTCAACCGTGGCTAATGACAAACCAAGGGACYAGTCTTCCCTAGACAACAAACAAGAATACTTGCCAATTCTTTCCAAGCCAAAGGATTTAAACAGTTGGAATGCGCCACAATCTAGTCCAGAGAAAAAGGGTCACTGGGTCRCCAGACAGGACAAGGAGGATCGCAGTCAATCACAGACGAGAGAATATAAGTCTAACGGATCCAGTCCTGATGTGTTAAATTTGGCAAAATACCTAGCTCGGCGCGAACTCATCACAGCTGGTCTCACGAAATTCAATGACAAACCTGAGAATTACTGGGCTTGGAAATCCACCTTTTCCAATGCAATTGAAGATCTCYAACTAAAACCCAGTGAAGAACTTGACCTGCTAATTAAATGGCTTGGACCAGAATCAACTGAACATGCAAAGAGAGTACGGTCAGTTCACATCAGACACCCTGCAGAGGCCCTTAATATGGTATGGGAAAGATTAGAGGATTGTTATGGCTCCACTGAAGCAATGGAAACCGCCCTCTTCAACAAGCTTGAACGTTTTCCCAAAATCTTAAACAAAGATCCCCAACGTCTACGGGAACTAGGCGATCTTCTCCTTGAAGTGGAGGCAGCCAAAGAYGAGGGTTATTTACCAGCTCTGGCCTACCTGGATACTGCACGAGGGATTAACCCCATTCTTGAAAAACTACCCAGCAGCCTTCATGAGAAATGGATGGTATACGGAACAAAATATAAACAACAATACCATGTCAGCTTCCCATCTTTTTCCGTTTTCTCCCATTTCATTCGCGAAGAAGCAAGGATGAGAAATGATCCCAGCTTTATCATTCCTTCTCCCAGCAGCATGCCCCCAAGTGGTGAGAAATGTATAAGAAGAACAATAAGAACTCCTGTATCAGTCCAAAGAACAGAAGTGGAAAATACTGAAACACCACACGAGTCCCAAGGACTAGATAATCTGAAGAGGCAGTGCCCAATACATCGAAAACCTCACCCACTCCAAAGGTGCAGAGCCTTTAGAGAGAAGTRACTAGAGGAACGTAAGGTGTTCCTTAGGGAAAATAGAATATGTTTTCGTTGCTGTTCCTCAACATCTCACCAGGCGAAGGATTGCAAGGCCATCATTAAGTGTTCAGAATGCAGTAGCGATAAGCACATAGCAGCCCTCCATAGCGGCCCGGCACCCTGGTCCCTTAAAAACGTGGCCAGTCCTTKCAAGCAGCATGGCGGGGAGGAAGAACCCTCCTCATCATCAGTCACCACCTCAAATTGCACAGAGATATGTGGAGGCAGCACTGCAGGAAGGTCATGTGCCAAAATCAGTCTTGTATACATATATCCCAAGGGCCAACCGGAGAAGAAAACAAGAGCCTATGCCATTCTGGATGACCAGAGCAATAGGTCTTTGGCAAGATCGGCCTTCTTTGAGATGTTCAATATAGAAGACAACACCTCCCCCTATACACTCAAGACGTGTGCAGGAGTGTCAGAGACTTCAGGTCGAAGGGCTCAAGGTTTCATTGTTGAATCTGCTGATGAGAGCACCAGCCTTGTTCTCCCTACTCTTATCGAGTGTGATCAGCTACCAGATAATAGAGCAGAAATCCCAACACCATCTGTTGTGAAGTACCACTCTCATTTGAAATCTCTTGCCTCCAAAATACCTCCGCTTGACCCAAAGGCTAAAATCTTGCTCCTTTTAGGAAGAGA